AAAGGGAGAGATCACAAGAAGGGTGGTGTTGAAGCACAGACAAGTGCACTCCTGGAGGAAAGAGAGGGATCTGGTGTCAAGCAACTTCTCAAGCAATTTTCCTGTAGTGCTCCTCACTAGACTGTTTACCTGTTGAAGGTAACCTGAGTGGGAGCACATTCAGCACATGCTCCTATGTAAACACACACGAAGATGTCAGAAATCAGTACAGAAATCAGTCAAGGAAACCTTGCTCTCAGCATGACAGCGTCACTGCAGGGCTACAGTTCATAAGGCTGTTACAACCGCCTTCCGTCATCCACGGTATTGTCAGTGTTCCTACCTGGTCACAGATAATGGGAGAAGAAGCATTTTCCCTGCAGCTCCTATGATGTGCTTCTGTTGCCTGTTCCGTCAACAAAAATTTGCCTAATTGCTACTTTTCAAAAAAGCAGGAAGTGTGAGATCAACTTTTTCCGAGAAGCACTTCATGATCTGGCGAAAAACACGGTAGGTAAAAGCCAAAGTTCATATTGTCAGGAAAGGATTTTGCGATTTCCACTTTGAGGCTAAACCTATAAGCAGTACAGCAAATGAGACATCTGCTTCCCACAGAAGAGTTACAGGATACTTGGACAAAAATGCTTCCGTAGTTAACCAGTTTCTATACAAAGTGAATTTAATAAAGGAAAGATGCCAGACAATGTTAATATAGTACATAGCTATACAAAAACATATAAATCTCAGTATAAAAATAATAAGGGGAGAAACTCTCAGGGGATTCACAGCCTGTTTGCTTAATGGCTGGTTTGGTTCAATGGACAAGCAAAGCCACACGTGCTGCCTTACAAATGCACAAGCATTTCAATCAAGTTCAGCCAGTTAGAGCCCACAGACACAGCTCAAAGTCCAAAAAGTAAACTGAAGAGGTCAGAGAGTGCTTCTGTACCTGAAGAACAGTGTAATACCTCTCAAGGCATTACACTGGATTCAACAATACAATGCATTCACCACTATATCACACTACTGATCTGTGATTAAAAATTCTTGCAAATGCATCTATTGCCTTTTTTCTTCCTTTTTTTAAAGTCCTGCTTTTCCAGTAAGACATGGCTTGTATGAGTTAATATGCTACAGTATCTTTCCTGTTACAGAATGGAAGAGATCGCTAAGAAGGCAGAAGTTTAGCAAGATGCAGCACAATATACTTCTTTCACCACAGTTTCATCCAGACAAATCAGGTAGTCATAGTACCGCCAAGACAGCACGTGAAGATGTACAAGATTGTTATAAAATCCCTGCTGAGCACATAACAGCCAATAATTACTTAACAGCACTTAGACACAAGAAGGCAGTTGCTCTAGAACAGAGCGCAGAAGAGTTTCAGTCAGTGAAATAAAATTGATGTTTAAATGTGACTGGAAAATTTATCTGCTTTTGCAATATATGATCTTTGCTATACGCTCTTTGAGAGGAACTCAGTATCCCTTCCCACATCCAGGCCATTGTGTGCCCAAAGTGGTTTGTACCAGCATCCTATGATCTCCCACTCACACCTGACCATGCCTATGAGATCTGCAGAAATCACAGCACAGGTGGCCACAGTGTAGATGTTAGTCATATTTTCAGAAGGGCAGTGTAAAAGCTTTGGTTAGGGAATTTCACTCACCATACTAACTTATAGAAACAAGCTGTGGGGCACAGACCTCTCAAACAAGCAATGTCCTGCCACAGAACGACAGCAGAACAACATCTTAACCACATGCCAGCATCACTGCCTCATTTCCACTACAAGTGCTGAGGGCTGCCTGTTGGATATGTTAGGAAACATCACTGTCAGCAGGATAGCCTCCAAAAGGTCAGAGTCTGTTGCTCCTCACAAACAATACAGCAACTCTCCCTTAAGGCAGGTAAGTATGAGGCTATTCCTAGTGAAGGATAAGTAAGAAGCTAATGATGGTTATTAATAGCTCTTAAAGCTAACAGTTCATCTGAGTTAAATGCAAGAGTAATAATCCCTTTATGACCTTCCCCATTCTTGCTGTGAAAATGGACAAAGTTTCATCAAAGACTGTTGGTAACCACAGTTTTCAACTACTTCAAACCTTGAAAATCACACTAACCTGAATGAGGATCTACCAGGCTTCACTAATAAATGTCAGTGACTTCTGAGGACCTAAAACAGAAACGGCACGCAGGTGTTGTGCACCTTACCACCTTTTCAAACGCATTAGGATTTCTGCCACAGACTTTCACATGTATTGAACCCACATGAGACATGCCCAAGGACTACTGATTATCTGCTTTGATAAATTGTTGTGTAATAATGGTGGTAAGGATTTCTTGCTGTTTTTCACAGTTAGTCCCAAACCACTAGTCCAGAAAACTTGCTCTTGTAGCAAGGAAAACTATTACTAAAATCAGTCAAGCCTTAACTTGAAATATCAAAGCTACATCTTGACCAGAAGCAAGAAAGAATGCAAATACAGATCAGCTGGAGAAAATTCTCTCTGCACTTCTTATAAACATAATGTGGAAAATTAAACAGATCTGTATTCATGAAAGATAGGAGAATGAAAAATTAAACATCTTCCTTCTGGGGAAGAAATCAAAAACTAACTTTCTTAAGACTGGCAAAGTTTCCTCTTTAGGCACATTGGTGCTTCACTTTTCACTGCTGTGCTTCTTGAGCTCTTTCTCTGAACGGGTTATGCAGGTACAGACAAGCTAATGGTCTAGTTTGAAATATCAAGTTCCCAAAGGAAAAGTAAACCAAAACAAGAATAAAAGTAAGTCAAACTTTGATCTGTTAGCTGACATTCAACTTTCATACACTTTGGTTTTAGCCAAGTTTGGTAATAAACAAGGCAGATGTGTATAGAGTCAACTCAGCCTACAAAGCACACACCTGGAGATGCCCTTGGTCTAAGAACCTGCTATTATACAGTAAGCCTCCATATTATCTTATAAAAGGTAATATTGGCTTTGATTGTTATTTGGGGTTTGTTTGATTTTGTTCAGATTGGCAAGTGGCTTTGTACAACTCAAAACCTTTTAAGACCACAGTGTACACAATGGGTTGAGGTGCTTACTACCATTAGAAGGAGTATTTTGTTATACAGAAAAGAAAAGGTAAGAAAACTGAAGTACTTAAATCAAATTGTAAAATGCTCCAGTCTCTCCTAAAAATCCATTACATATTTTTGTAGAAATCCATGCAAGAACGGCGTCCAGGCCAGTCACAACACAGAGAAGTATCTGCAAGCTGTGCTGCACAATGGAAAGTTACAATACTGAAAGAGAGGAGCACTGAAGCTAAAATGAATTTGTACTGAACTTACAAAACTGAAGTGCAAATGCTTTCTTTCTGAGTTTTACCTAGTGTCTTTCTCTGGAACTGCAGATGTTACCCAAAGCAGGAAAAAACCATCTGTAACCGCTAAGCAAATTTGCTCAATAGAGAATTGTACTTTTTATCTTGCAGTGATATCTACCTCTACACAGTACAGATGGTCTGAAATGACTGAAAATACGCTGTTGATGTTCTACAATTTCTTCCTCTTGCACCCTATATCTATAAGTTGCTGTGTCAAAAACAAAATGAAAGGTTTGGAAAGAGACTTGGGACTCTCACTTCTGGGCTCAGTGCATGGTCAAACAGTTACCACAGGTCTTTCTAATCTGATCGGCCTCCTAATTCACATGACCTAACTGGAGAGTAGCCAATTCAGAGAACTGTCATGTATTTACAGGGGAACTGCTTCATGCTCTCTCAGTGTTTCTTTATGGGAGGAGTCCAGAAGAAGCAACAGAATAGTCCTTTTACCCAGAGAGCTGCCCAGCACGTTCGTGGACTGCTGTTACTCGCTGTAGGTTAGGAAGCAAGAGATTCCAGCGGACTCCTGAGACAAGATGACCCAATGACTTAAAGCACCTCAACTACGGAGACAACTTCCTGCCTGGTTCCAGCAACCAAACCTAGTGCCAAGTCAGTCTACCTGGATTCAGGAATCCAGAAAATTAACTGCTGGTTTAAGAACGTGAAGGACTACAATCCATTTTAAGCTTTAACTGAGATGAAGACTCCAAATTGTCCAAAATGTGCAAACTATGAAACAATAGATTTTTTGCTGACAAACCACAAAATTATGTAGGTGCAGTCTGGTCAGACGATGGGTGAAGGGCTAGTCTGAGCAGAATTTTCTAACACATCCAAAACAACTTTCTTTTTCTTTCAATCCTACCTAAAGTTAGTCTCAGTGAATCCCTTTCTATAACATGACAGTGCCTTTGCAGTCCCTTATATTTCAGGTGTGCCCAACCTGTAAGAGTGCTGCTCTGCATCTCCTGAGAATCTGACCACTGCTGAATACATGTTCCTAGTTCACAGAACAAGCCTGCCCTTGCAGTTGCTCCATAATGTGAGTGCTCTCTTGCACTGCTTTTATGCTAGGGTAAAGATAAAAAACATGAAATGGTTTCTGTGGAACTGGCAGATAATGCAAAATTCATTGCAGCTTTAGCATAAACTAAAATATGATGCACACAAAGATCTTTCGGCTTGACCAGAGGCACAGCACAGAGTCTAAATAAGGTTGATACCCAAAGACCAGCAACATTATGTCCTTAATAATTATTTTTTTAATCAGCCTATTAATTAAATTCTCTTAAGCTTGAAATCATTAGATACTTCCATATTTTTGCATTCCATTTCTCATTAGTACCAGAAGACCCCAAAAAATTTCACTCACACATCTGCTCCCAAGTTAAGAATACAAGCCTTATCTTCAAGAAAATACACCTGCTACAAATTTCATGACAATGTATTTTGGAGCCATCTGCTTTGTAATTGCAAATATTAGACCGCTAATGAGAAATGATTAGGTTAACATTCATTTTCACTTAGAGCAACAATCATGCAAGGAAGTGGGTCTCTGGATCAGAATCACATCTAATTTGGTAACCCCTACCATTTTATCTTCAGATAAGTTTCTGCAAAAATTGAGTTTATCTGTCACTACCTGTTCTTCCTTTTCTTTGGTCTTGCTCCTGGAGACTCTGGAAGAGGTAACATCCTGAGCTGGAATGACAGAGATTTGATGCAGTGGCATGTTCATCACACCGCCTTGTTTGGTCCTATCACTTACAGGAAGGAGGCTTGAAGGCAGTACTCATTCAGTGCCATTGTCAGGCCTTGCACCTAAAAAAAATAAAATAAAATAAAATAAAATAAAAAAAGTAAAATAAAAAACCCATGAAGTATTTTGAAATGCAATTATTTCTAAAACTAAGCCATCAGTTAGACCAAGGTGCACCTCTTGCCTTCCCTCTGCTTTCTGAACAAGAAAGAGTTCTGCTTGGATGAAAAAAGACACAGGACTTTTCAAGAGCTACAGCCAGACAGGCCAGAGCGCAGTTTATGCAAAGAAATAAGTAAGTTATCAACAGTTTGGGAAGTGGTCCAACAGCAGGACAGGGCTTGTCCAAGCAGTCCAAGCAGGCAGGGCTTGTGCTTGATACTGTGTGGGTAGACAGGAGGAGGTGGATGAGCAGCTCTTCATGCTGAGCAGCAGGAGTGTGCTAGGTACAGAGAGCAAGGTTGGTGCAGGGAGTTCTTACACTGCCTCAGGTACAGTCCTCAGCGTGGCCGAGTGCTCTGTGTTTTTAACCACTGCATTTGGCTCCAATCATTAATCCAAACGTGTACCAACAGTAGGAAAACACATCACGTGGGCTCTTCCTTTCTTAAGGCGACTGGTGAGTATTATAATCAAAATCCCTTGCTGGGAATCAGGAATTCATCAAGCTACACACACTTCATCCTTCTGCATTACACATAAAAAAGACATTAATAGATATAAATTTGCCAAATTTGGCAACTAATCTCAAAGACAGGCATAATTAGCCATACCTGCTATTAGATTAAAAGCTTTTTGAAATATGTACGCTCATAGAGCATTTAGTTGGAACATAACCTGTTGCAAATTAGACACAATCAATTGTGTTTAAGGAAAGGATTAGAGAAGAATTACCACAGCAGAGCCTAACTGGGGCAACTGCATTGTTCTCACATTTCCGTAACATACCACCTTTTGATTCGTTTTTTCATCTGCCACGCAAAATACAAGGACTGGATAGATGTCCTATATGTTATGCTGCTTAACAATTTGGAAGTGGTATAACCCAGCACTGCATACCATTAGCATAGATGGCATACATTGTTTTTTGAATTTTTAATTAGTCGGAAGTTTTAAAGATAGGCCAAGTTTCCTAGGTTGATTACACAAAAGATGCTGGTGTGGTCCTGTTTCTACCAGGCTCCACAGGAGTGCTGCAGGATCTTTGACTGCTTTTGATTAAATAGGGGGAAAAAAAAAAAAAAAACAAAACACCTATCCCAAAACATTTTATGCAAGGAATGATGGCTCAGTATCCTCTTTCTACTGAGGGGGAAAAGAGTTGTCAGAGGTCATACAGCACATCATTGGCAAAAACAAAACCAAAGGCAATGCCTTCTGCTTCCCAAGGATGCTGGCTGCCCATTAGAGTGCTCAGCCAAATTCACGAGTGTTGCTGACACCTAGTCAGGATTTATATTACTTTCATCAATGCCAAGACAGCATACCATAAGGCAACACCTCCAAAACTTCTAGACATCACTGATCTTAAAAAAAAAAACCAACAAACATCTACCAGTGTGAACAAGCAACAGCAAGGACACTTCCTTATTGAAGGACAGAGGCAAACATGGGACTTACTGGCACTACTGAAATGCAACTCTAGCACAAAGAAAAAGAACCCTGAACTTCCGCAAGTCCTCCACACCTATTTAGCTTCATCCTCTAAAGGAGCCAAGCTGTAAGTGCCAGAAGAGAGATAAGCATGGGCTGAGATAGGAATAACAAACTGCAATAAACAAAGCAGGAATTGAAGGTATTTTCCCAAGAAAACATAAATGAAATCCAGGGAGCGTCAAGCTCCAATGAAACTCTGTCAGGTAATATGTCCTGTGCTACTGCCAGCAATGGCTGAGCCAAAGGGGGTGGAGACAGAGCCCACTCTGCAGCCCTCAGAAAGGGTTGTGGGCTTACAGACAAGGGCATTTTACTGCTGTAAGGAGAACAAGGAAAATTATTAGAAAACACAGCTAAATCCCTCTGATTCCAACAAACAAATCAGACCAGTTTTTCTGCAGGTACTTTACGGATAGCAGTTAGAATTCTTTGAAAGATATAATCCAATTAGATAGTCAAAGACAATGTAAAATAGCCTTCCTCTGGTAGAGCAGCTGGGCAGACATTCAACAAAGCCTGCCTTTGTTCAAGAGCAGCTTAAGAAAAGCTCTAAACTTACCCCAGATGCCACACTGTATGCCTCCAGCTGGGAAGGATCCTAACAACCACACACTCAAGGCCTGCCAGTCCCAACCTGAAGCACCTTAGCTCCACAGCACTAATTAAAGGATAAAGTTACACAAGTCAACCATCTGCAGTGCCAAGCACATACTGACAAGGATGCCTAGAAAAGCAATGCCTCTTTGTAAAAATTGCAACAAGCCCTGTAGGACTTTTTTCACAGCTGAATCAACACTGTGGGCGCCCGATCCATGGTGAAGAGTAGAGGACACGAAAATCATAAAATGGCTTGGGTTGAAAGGGACCTTGAGGATCCATCAACCTCCAACCCTCTGCCACAGGCAGGGCCGCCAACCTGTGCATCCAATGCCAGGCTGCCCAGGGCCCCATCCAACCTGGCCTTGAACATCTCCATGGATGGGGAGAGCAAAGATCTAAGAAAGCTTCAAGCACATCAAACCAGGGTCTTGCCAGAAAGGCTTAGCAGGCAATGCTAAGGCAAGGGGAAAGCTCCTAGGTGCTCCCTTCTACTCAGGATTTGTAGCCATAAATCACAATGCATGGTTAGATGTGTAAGCCCTCTCTCATATAAAGTGAGCAATCCTATTGCCAAAGCATCTCTCACCACTGATACAACAGCTGAACACACCTCGGAGATAGCAGATAGAGCTCAGCTTCCTCTTCCTTGTGTAAGATTCAGTTTGTGAACCCCATACACAAAAGAAGCCCCATGACCACTGGTGTGGATGCTATCCCACTTGCAGAGGAAGGACTCGCCAGTTCCACTTTGCCTGGAAAGTTGATGCAATCATGGGACGGCAGGGAACTGAGACAGAGTGGATATATGTGAAACAGATGCCACAAGCAGGGCAGTCTTTTGCCTGTGCACGATGAGAGATCCTCTTACCCTGCCCTCCTGGCTGCTCACATACTGTTCACTAGAGAAAAATACTTAAAGAAAACCTATAGGAAGTTTGGGCATTCACCAAATGATAATGAGCTGAACTGTTTTCATAAATGAACCCTTCAGAGATTTTCTGGCACACACTTGAAACCACATCAGCTGTAACATCAGAACCACACAGCCACAGCAACATCAGCAAGATTCAGAGGGAATTAGACAAACTATCTTTTACAGTACTCAAGAAGGAAAGGCAAACATGCGACTGGGGTCTGGTGTTGGGGCATTCCCCTCAGCACTGTGTCTCCTGACAGCAACAGAAAATTAGATTCCCTTGGATCATCAGTATCGAGTACACAAGGGGAACAACAGACATCAACAGGTAAACTCACCACAGCAAAAGCAGATGGGGGACTGTTTGCAAACCCCATTTCCATCACCCACCCTACCAGGCCTCACTGAGGAAACCGGGACACGTGTCAGCCATGAGGGGAGCCTAACACTTGGTGAACTGCTAGCCTGCTCCATGAGATGCGCTACTGGAAGGACCAAGGCACAGGAAGGTACGCTGCTGTCTCCATCTGTCACTCACTGCAGCTTTTCCGTCCATCACACATTCCAAAATAAAGGCTAAACAAAGATTTAGATCTAGAGATCTATATCTAGATCAAAGAGAAATCTACGTCTAGATCAAAGATCTAGACTAAGGCAAATGAACACAAATTATGGTTTCATGTCTGTAGTTTGGTATCTAAGGGAATCTAAAAATATGGAGTATGAACTGCAGACTTCATTAGGTTATTTTAACTTCAAAGTTCACCATATTCCCATTTTACACCGCACATGGTGGAGAAGTCCAGCAGAAGCTCTCGAGCTGTAGTGGCACTGGCTGCAGACATAGATAGACCCACACCAAGAGGAAAGCATCCTGTGGACGTATGGATGTGCACGCATATGCTTTGCATTGCTCAGAGGAGGAGAAAAAGCCAAATATCTCAGCTGTTTTCCTTAAAGAATAGAGTCTCTGGATTACAAAAGACTCTGCCTTCGTGTGCATGAAAGATAAACCTTGTAACCTGTGGTGTAAGCAAGAGGATAATCGCTAACTTGAGAACTGAAACAAATTTCACCTGTGAGTTATTCCTGTCTGCCTCAAGGTTTCCTACAGTTCTCTTTGATTCCCTTAGTTCCCATTGATGACAGCCAGTCGTAACACATAGATCAATCTTCTGGGGGTCGTGCAAGTTAAAAATAAAGACACAGATCACTGCAGTCCAGATAATCCATTCACTGTAGCGCTATGCAATACCACGAATATCGTGAAGTGCAGCTGATGGAGTCGGTGGAGCTCAGGGTATGCACCAGCTGCAGGGTGGGAAGTGCTGCCCTGAAGGCTGGTAGAACACTGCTGTGAGTGCCTGGAATTCCCCCCCCTGCACAGCATGAAACCCAACCCAAACAGGAATAGAAACCTTCTGAAAAACATTATGCTGCTCAAAGATGGTGTACTGCTTATTTTCTCTATGTGAGATTCAAAATAATCTATTAATGCAGCTTTGGAATCTGTTTTTCTGCTGGCGGCCTCAATGTGAAATCTCAAAGTCCCATGAGCATAAAAATCTCTTTTGTGTATGTGTGTGTTCAAATTTAGCATAAGAACTCATGCAGTACTCAGCAAACCTCTGTGTGCACCTTACCTGCTTACCTGCCCTGACATTCAAACTGGCTGTGGCCTGTGCATACGTCCTATGCTACTTTCTGTACACTACATATTTCATATTTGCAAATATCTCCGACCCTATTAGCTTGTATAGGCACTGGTTTGAAGCTTTCATTTATTTTATTTTGAGCTTGTCAGGACTCCTCCCCTACTAATAGAGCTTACATAATCCTTTTCTAGAGATGACAGATGTGCATTTTCAAAACGAGGATCCTGCATCTGTG